TCAGCGTGTTCACACTGGGGGCTGGGTTGCATGGGGCTCTGGCTGGCACTGGGAGGACCTCGGAGAGCTGGGGAATGAGGGGCAGGCCCCTGAAACCTCAGACAGCCATCTTCCAAAAGACAGAGCCTATCAGGGGACACACAGGCCGCGCAGACACCTGCAGCAACAGCCCGGAGGGCGGCTCACAGCAAGCACAACCAGGCAAGGCTTTCTGGCGAAGGCAGGGCACGGGGAGGCCGAGACCATCACAGCTGATCCTCAGGTCTCTCTGGAGGCCCCTGCTGATCCCCCCACCCCCCATCTCTGTGCTCTCGCTGCACAGCCACCACACTGATGCCTCCAGCTGCAGCCGTTCCCTCAGCGGCGCCCCCTGCCTGCTCCCCTCCCTGCTCGACGCCTCCACACCAGGCCTTCCTGCAGCAGCACCTTCCCTTCACCTTTGAGATGTTCCTGGCAGCACTCGCATTTCCTTGTCTCCCCGCCCTAGGATGTAACCTGCAGGGCCGGGGCTGCTCGCTGGCTGCGTGCCCGAGGCGGGCACTGGGCCCCGTGTTTGATGTGCCACCACGCCCCGGGAAAGGCCCGGGCGGCTGCTCATCGTGGGGGCACCGCTCCTCTGTGGCGTCGGCTTCCTTCGGTTTGGGGGTACATTTGAAGGTGAACACCCCAAGCTGGAAACCCATCCAGGGAGAGGGAGTCTCCTCCTCGTTGCCCCCGGGGCAGGGCCTGCCTGTGGCCGCACCGGGCTCAGCAGTGAGGCGATGTCGCTCCCTAGTGGTCACTCAGCACAAAGCCGGAAAAAAGGGGTTTGCAGAGCCTGGGCATGCCTGTGAGCCTGGCTGTGGGCAGCCCGGTCTCTCCCAGCTTCTGTGGCTGCTGGCACCCTTGGCTTGTAGGCGCATCATTCCAACCCTTTTCCTGCCACTTGGCATTCTGTCTACGTCTCTGTCTTTCCATCGCCACCTTCTCATTAAACACCAGTCACACCACGCCAGGCCGCCCCCGCCCCAGCTGACTTTGTATCAGTGAATTCCATCGCAATGGCTGCGCTTCAGGTCCTGCCACATTCGGGGGTGAGGACGTCAGCATGTCAACCAACAACCTTATAAGGGTTACATGAGACCGTATATTTTTCTGATCTATATAGCGGTGCCTGAAATAAATCCTTTTTCTGCCTAATTCCCCAACTAGCCCTGGCCTAGTAACCTGTCTGCAATGCCGTGTGGCCCCTCATGCCTGACCCGCTGGCCGGCTGAGGGGTGGGCCTCCTCACACTCCGTGCACAGCCCCCGGGAGTGACAAGCTCCGGGCACTGGGATGAGCGGCACCGCAGGCTGTCTCCCCTCTCGCTCTGCCGCCCTCCCGCCTCTGGAAAGGACCAGAGACCCGCCCTCATTCTCACCAGCCGTGAGGGGCGAGGGAACGCTGGCTGCAGACCCCGGCCTCTGTCCCTCCTTCCCCCGTCACTCCGGCTCCACAGCTGCAGGCACCCAGTCCAGCTCCGTGTGCTGCAGGGGACACCGAGGTGGGAGAGCAGGGGGCAGCGGCAGGCGCGAAGGGAGGCCACAGCCAACGTCACCTTCCAGATGCCCGTCCCCTCCGGGCGGGGCCAGCGCGGCCTCTCAGGACTCCTCCTTCTGGGAGGTTTGCACCCCATTCCCTCCCAGCCCAGGCCTCCTGGCCACGCCCCTGCTCCTCGGCCTGGGTGCAGGGGCCCCACCTGGGAGACTGAGCACCAGGAGGCTGAGAGTCCTCATGGATGTACTTTGATATAACAAGTGACTGGAGAATCACCTCTATTTTTTTTCTCCCCAAATGGCTAGTTGTATCATCACTGGATTAACATCCCTAAAACCCACTCCTTTAAAGCAGCGTCTGCCATCTGGGCTAGGAGTGGATTGGGGCCCCAACTCGGTTGCTCAGTGGTTAGAGTGTCAGCCCAAGAATAAAGGGTCTCAGGTTTGAGTCCTGCTAAGGACACACCTTGGTTGCAGGCTTAATCCCTGGGTCTTGTCAGGGTGCATGTGGGAGACAATCAACCGATATGTCTCTCACATCAGTGTTTTTCTCTGTCTCTCCCCCTCCCTTCCACTCTCTCTCTTAAAAAAAAAAAAGGAATGGAAAAATATCCTCAGGTGAGGATTAACAAAACAAAACAAAACAAAACAAGTTTTTAAAAAAGTGCACTGGGGAGTGAGACGGCCTCAGTTCAAAGCCTGGTCCTGCCACTCGCCAGCTGTGTGGTCTTTGCTCTGTGCCTCAGTTTTTGCTTTGAGGAATACGGTGAAACTATTACTTTTATGAAGATTAAAACAGCAGTCACTTTCAATGCAGTTAGAATACATGTGACAGGCACTTATAATTACTTATGATTACTAGGTTTATTGTTTATAGTATTATAATTATTGTCAATGACTAGGGAGCAAAGTTTAGTAACATGAAGTTAAATCCTTCTGGAGCAACCGACTGGCTCAGGGACCCTTACTGGCTAATCAGACACCCGGTAGTGAGGAATGGGAGAGGAAAGTGGAGACGCAAAGACAAGGACTTCTCTGGCCCCTGGGCAGACCCATGAATTCCTGGTGCCGAGGCCGGGCCAGCCTGCTTCCTCCTTTTCTGACTCCTGGGCTCCTCTCTGAATTCTGTAAACACACCCAAGTCCTTCCACAGGATTGTCTGTTTTTGTCTTTAAAAAAAGTGGGGTGAAAGTAAGAGACCAAACATGGGTTCCGCGATAAGGCTACACACACGTCCCACAATGCCCCCTGCACAGACCTGGCTCTGAGAGTTCCAGCCGCTGCGCAGACAGGGAGGGCCGGCTGCCTCGCGGTGTGTCCATGGGAGGCCGGGGAGCCCGGTGTCAGGCCGGCCGCGCGGCCCAGGCCCTGGGTGACCGACAGGTCTCCGTGCCTCCTCCGGGGGACGAAGCAGCTTCAGGGCGGCTCCTGAGGCAGTCCCTCCTGACAGACAAGTGGCCTTACTTTCAAGCTCAGCTCTGCGAGTTAGTTCTGGGCCGCGGGGTGCCATGGACAGTCTGGGCGCCTGGACCCAGGAGTGATGCAAACACCAGGAAGAGCAGAAAGACTGTGCCCTCCACTCACTGCAGCTAAAGAGCACGTGGCCGGGAGCCATGGCCCCGTGAGGCGGGCACGCTCCATCTGGCCCTGGGCCGGGACCTCCCCCTGGCCAGGCTGGGCAGGGTGGGTTTCCCATTTAGGGAAAGCCTGGTCTCGGACTCAGAGGTCCGGGCAGCAGCACGGGCCGCGTCCCGGGGCCAGGAGTGCCTGCCTAGCGATGCCGGTGCCAGGAGCAGCCGGTCCTCCGAGCCTTCCCGAGCCCGCCTCCAGCTGCCTCCCCAGACGGCGGAGCAGCACCTTAGCCAGCGGCCGCACTCGGCCTCAGCATCTGCAGGCAGCCTTGGACTGGCACCTTCTGGCCAAGGACACGGGAGCCTTTTCAAAGAGCACAGCACACGGCAGCGCGGACGGCTGTGGCCTGGCGGAGCGTCTGGCCCATCTCCGCACCCAGCATCCCCTGCGGCCGCTCCCAGCCGCCCAGACCCCTCTGCCTTCAGAAATGACCCCGTGGACAGGCGGCCGCCGGTAGCCACCGCCCTGCCCCCCAGCGGGGTGTGCGCTGCAGGCCTGGGCTTCCTGTGTAACGTGTGTGCTGGGGGAAGTGTTTGCCCCGAGCTCACACTTCCAGGAGCCGAACAGGCCTTATGTGGAAGCAGGGTTGTTGCCAATGTGAGGACGGGAGCTCACGGGGCGGACTGGGCCCTTCATCCATATAACGCTGTCCTGTGAGAGGCGGAGGGAAGCACTCGGCACGGACACACAGAGGGGCAGCACCAGGGCCGAGAGGCAGCGCCGGGAGGGACGCGCTACAGGCTGAGGGGCCCCAGGAGCTCAGAGGAAGTCCCGGGACAGGTCATGTTCTCGGCTCTCCGGGCGGAGCACAGCCCCTCTGACGCCTGGATCTGGAACCGTGAGGGAACACACTTCTGAAGCAGAAGCCCCGTCTGGGGTGCTGTGTCCCGCGGTCCCAGGACACCTCGCTCTCTGCACCCACCACAGGCATCAGGTGCCATTGAAGGAACAGGACCCCTGCCATCGGTCTGGTCCGTCCCCAGAGGCGGGACATGGGGAGCGCTGGAGGATTTCCAGGTCCCTGTCAAGGAGGCTGGGCAAGCTCCCTCGAGCATCAGAAGGCCGGTGCTAATGGACCTCAGACGTAGAGGCCCCAACTCCACGCCTGTGACATTTGTGCGTTTACATTTCGGTTCATCCCCCATCTGGGATGACTTCGGGGTTCTTGGAACAACACCCACACCAGAAGAAGGAGGAGGAGGAGGAGGATGAAGGAAGAAAGAAAGAGACAGCCACCCTTCCCTTGTAAGGTGAGGAGGCGGAACTGGACGCTGTGACCCGCTCCCAGGTCACACTGCACCGGCTGCCGGTTTTGATACCAATGGAGCAGGACGTAAAGGAAGACCGCCCAAGAGCTCTGGTGCCTGCGGGCAAGGCTGTCCTCCAAGTCACTGTCCTCCGGGGTCGGACCTTCCTAGTCACCAGGACGAATGGGAGGGCGGAGGGGAGGGGGCGAGGAGATGCTGGCGGTGCTGCCCTCAGACCACAAAGCTTTCCGACGCTGAAGCACCGTCTCTGAAACACACTCGTCTGCCAGAAAGAGACACACTCCGGCCTCCCCACATCAGACACGGCACAGGCCCATCGGCAGGCGGAGCAAGGGCTGGGCCGGCGCAGGACACACGGTGGCTTCACGCGGCCGCTGTTTCTCAGAAAGGCCTCCTGCCTATCAGACACCTACGTCCAGCCCAGGGACGGACGAGTGTCGGGAGGAGCCGACGGCGGAGACCGCCAGGCTCTGGAGGGAGATTGGTTCCGGGACAGACAGTGCTGCCCTGCAGGCGGCGCCGGGGCCACGTGGCGGAGGGAGGGCCCGCAGCCCGCCCCCCGGGAAGGAGCGACAGGCCTCACCTTTCCTGGAGCGGGAGAAGAAGCGGATGCCGCCCGGCGAGGTGGAGGAGCTGGAGGTGGGGGATGACTCCTTGGAGGAGGAGCGGAAGATGCCGCTGAAGCTCATGCGGCGCGGGGAGCGCGGTGGGGACTCCTGGCCGGAGAACGGGAACACGGTCTTGGGAGAGCCGGGGCTGGTCCGGGGCCTCGCGGGGGCGGACACGGGGCTGGAGGGCCGGCGCGGGGGCCCTCGGGAGAAGAAGCCTTTGGAGGGGCTGCCGGACCCGAAGGGGCTGTCCGCCTGCGGAGAGACGGGCACAGGGTGAGCTCGCTCGGGCGCTCGGACCTGGGCCCCGCCCGGCCTGTCACCGTCACACCTGCCGCTGCCCCCGGCGTCCCCGTCACCGAGCTGCTCCTCCAGGGCACCCTGCCTGAGAAACAGCCCTCAGCTCTTCTACAAACGGAGCTGCCACTAGTGGCCTGGGGAAGGCGGCTGCCTCCCCTTACCCCCCCCCCCCCCATCCGCAGGCTGCTCAGCCCTACCCAGAGGCCCATGACCTCTGCCCAGCTTCCTGCAGGAGGCAGGGGGGCGGGGGGATGACAGGCAGAGGACACGGCTTGAAAGGATGTATCTTCCCCCTTTGACTGCTTGTGAGTCGGTCTCCTGTTCTCCATGCTCAAGACCTCACGTGTGTCCTCCTCAAGGACAATGTTCTCTGCCCTCCTCCCAGGAGGAAGCCGGTCCCTATGGTCTGCACTCTGGGCCTGGCTCCGTCCCGAGAGGCCCCGGGCTGGGAAGGGATGCGTGTCTCAGCCCCACGCTGCTGTGGTGCTGGAGCGAGGGGGCTGTGACCGGCAGAGGGAGCGCAGCCCCAGGCCTCTTGTCACGGCTTCTGGGGCAAGGACAGGCCTGGGGGGACAGCCCAGCACAGAGACCCTGGTGGGGACCAGTGCCGGGAAGATAGGTGACGCACACACCCACAGGCAGGCAGGCAGCTCTGTGCCCACGGGCCTCTGTGCACTTGGGGTGCCTGTCGGACCCATGACCCTTGTGAGTTCTTCCACCACCAGAGGGCGCCCCCAAACCGGGCTGGAGGTTCCTTAGAGGATGTGATGCCCTCACGGGGGCTCCACCTTCTGTGACCTCCACCTCAGGCCACCCTCTGCCACTCCCCAGCCTGTATGGTGACTGGGGGGAGGGTGGTGTGTGGAGTGTGAGTGGGGGGAGAAGCGTGGCCTCAGGGAGACGCAGGAGCCGTGCCCGGTGAGGAACCACAGAGCTCAGGCTCACCCCTCAGAGTTCACGCTTCTCTCTCTCTAACCACTTAACGTGAAATGCATTTAGATTCTCTGTGTGTATCCAGTTTCGTCACTATGCCACCTCCCCATGGGACTCAGGATTCCTGAGTGTTGTCTAATCCTAGAATAATTAACAAGGAGAAACTGCGTGGTGCGTGGTGGGCGGGGGGTGGTGGGTGGTCGGTGCCTGTGGACGTGGCTGGGCAGTGGGAACGAAGGTGACCCCACAGCAGGATGGCACAAGCAGGGATACTGGACACAGGACTGGAGTTTGAGGCCCAGCTGTTTCCAGCAGTGTGACGAGTGCCTTCAGCTTCGGCACCCTCACCTTCCCAGTGAGAGCACCGGGCCGGGGCCCAGGGCCGCGAAGGCGATGGGATGTACCGCAAGGCGCAGTCCTGGCCCAGATGTAGCTCAGAGGGTCTAATGTAGGGGTGTCGAACTCAATCAGAGAAGGGGCCAAAATCTAAAATCCAGCCTAAATCGCGGGCTGAATGGTTTACTGAACAGTCATAAACTGTCATTGTGATGGAAACGCAGCGGAGTGCAGTGATGACAGCGCGGTGCGGGCCACATTGCAAGGCCTGGCGGGACGGATTTGTCCCGCGGGCCTTGTGTTTGACACATCTGGTCTAATGGAAGCAGACCTGCCAAGGTTCAAATCAGGAGGAGGCTGTGTCTGCCCTCCAGGGATGGTGCTGGGACAGGCGTGAGGAGACCAAGGAAAGACCAAGAACTCACAGGGGCCAGGGTCTGATGGGCACCCCAACAAAGTCTGCACTCCTCTTCCCCTCCAGTTCTCTACCTCCCACCCACACAGCTTTCACTTGAGGCCCTGTCTCCAGCTGCATAGGAGACCACCAGATGCAGGGAGAAGACACGGGGGCACCTTCAGGTGGAAATGCAGATGGGAGCACAGGTGGATGTGAGGTGGGAGCACAGGTGGATGCGAGGTGGGAGCACAGGTGGATGTGAGGTGGGAGCACAGGTGGATGTGAGGTGGGAGCACAGGTGGATGTGCAGGTGGGAGCATGGGTGGCTGTGCAGGTGGGAGCACAGGTGGATGTGAGGTGGGAGCACAGGTGGATGCGAGGTGGGAGCACAGGTGGATGTGAGGTGGGAGCACGGGTGGATGTGCAGGTGGGAGCACAGGTGGATGTGAGGTGGGAGCACAGGTGGATGTGCAGGTGGGAGCATGGGTGGCTGTGCAGGTGGGAGCACAGGTGGATGTGAGGTGGGAGCACAGGTGGATGCGAGGTGGGAGCACAGGTGGATGTGAGGTGGGAGCACGGGTGGATGTGAGGTGGGAGCACGGGTGGATGTGCAGGTGGGAGCACAGGTGGATGTGAGGTGGGAGCACAGGTGGATGTGCAGGTGGGAGCACAGGTGGATGTGCAGGTGGGAGCATGGGTGGCTGTGCAGGTGGGAGCACAGGTGGATGTGAGGTGGGAGCACAGGTGGATGTGCAGGTGGGAGCACAGGTGGATGTGCAGGTGGGAGCATGGGTGGCAGGTAGAAGTGTGTGTGTTGGGCACTCGCTGAGGAAGTCCTGCCTCGCTGGCACCTCAGGTGAGCTCTGAGAAAGGGGACTTACCTTTCGAGAAGAGTGCTTCTCTGAACTCTCCAGGTCTCCGTCCAGGAATGGCATGGCAAACGAGCTCAGGTCCTAGGATGGAAGCAGAGCACGTGGTCATGACAGTGGCCCTCAGTGCCCACCTGCCTCGTCCAGGGCTGCACATGGCTCTTGTGTCACCCCATCCCGACCCTCCTCCGTATCAGCCGTTAGGAAGGGGCACGGATGGCAAATGGCCGCTCAGCAATCCTGACCACGCTCCGCATTCCCTCCAGAGCAGGAAGTGGCTGCCTCTGGTCGCCTGTCACAGAGCACCTGTCACCAGGGAGGAGGGAACGAGAAAGAAGAGGTGGGATTAAGGGGCAGGGAGGGAAGGAGCCAACAGGGAGCGGGAAAGGGGGGGAAGGTGCAGCTTTGGGGAGCGGGCAGAGGACAGCACCGCGGCTGTCCATGGACCCCCGGGCGCTGGGTCCCTGGGGTGGGCGCTGACTGGCCTGTGGTGGATACGGCCTCACAGGGACTCAGTCAGCGCCCGGGCAGATGCTGACAGCTTCCCACCAGCGGGGGCTGGGATTGGTCACGAACGTACTGGTGTCTGCAGTCTTGTTTGTCGTGTGCTCTGGACCCTGGCTCCTTCTAGCAACAGCCGGGCGGGCCCTTGGTGGTTTTTCCAAACAAGGCTTGTCTGGATCGCTGTCTCCACTGCTCAGACACCTCAGTTCAAGGCCTCTCACTGACTCCCAGGACAGCCCTCCCCCCCGGGACAGCCCCGGCCACAGAGCCGGCCCAGTGCTGTCTGTGCAGTATTGCCCTGCAGCTGCCGTCCTCTGCCCGCTCCCAGCCCTTCCCTCCGCCTGCTGCTCCCACAGCCCTCCACCCCAGCCCCAAATCCGGCTCAGACAACTCCTGTGTGTCACGCTATTCAAGTGTCATCCCTGGCTGGTCCCCGTGCTCAAGCGAGATCAATTCTTCTCTTATCTGTGTTCCCACAGTCCTGGGATGCACCTGGGCCATCGGCTGCCATCCACATTCAGTCTCCTCTGAGACTCACTCCTCGGGGCAGGAGGAGCTGCTCCCCTTGTGTCCCCGGCCCGCGGGCCTGGCACACGGCAGGTGGCAAAGTGTTCGAATGAACCCCTGGACAAGGCACCCCTGCCCTGGTGGCAGCACGAGGGCTCCCGGTGCACTGACGGGCCAGTGGGAAAGCAGTGCCGTGTGGCTCGGTCCAGGGGGAGCGAGGAGCAGCCAGGCGAGGGGCCCGTATCTCCTGTTTGAACCAGAACGTTCCTCTCTGGTCTCCAGTCACCGTCACCCTCGAACGTCTGCTCGGCACAAGTTCCCAAAGCGGAAGCCTTTTCATAAGCGCTCCTGCGTTCCTCCCCGAAGAGCCCCGAGAACCGGCACCCCCTCCATGAGGCCCTGGCGGCTCAGTGACGTGTGCCAAGCCCAGGACGCGGCCCTGCTGCCACGGACGGCCTGTGCGGTCCATCAGCTGTTCCCAACCGGCGCGAAAGCATCGAATCCACCAGCCACACCGCACGCCCACCCCTGGGCGCCGTGTGTGCTCGGCCAGCATCCCTGCAGGAAGGCCTGGCCCGTGGTGGCCTTTGTGGGAGGCTCCCACCCGCACTCCCTGATCTAATCTGGAAGGCACCAAAGCGCGCAGTGAGAGGCCGCTGTGGGCAGCCTCCAACTCCGGCCGCAGGACCGTTACCGGCCAGAATGACCGGGGCCGGGCCTCTCGGAGGGCCGGCATCCCAGAAGGCCCCGCTGCGGAGCTGGTCCTGCTGTGGTTTCCCGGCTTCAAACTCCCACCACAGCCTCACACTCTCCTCACCGCTCTACCTCCACTCCCGTGTCCTGCCAGCCGCCAGGCAGGCCCCTGGGGGCCCAGTGGGCATTTCCCTGGCCACACTGAGGCAGCATATGGTTTCTGCCAAGAGACAGCTATGTACTCCGGGCTTGTCGTCAGGCCTGCCAAAGGCCCCGGAGAGGAGGTCGGGTACTGGGGAAGGCAGCCTGCAGGACTGGGCTCACGCTGTCACCGTCAGGAAGCATCAGACAAAAGGGAACAGCCCCAGGTTTGGGGAAATTCCCGAGATGGGAGCTGACCGTGTAAGCAGCTCACTTAACCCCCGGCCCCACCCCTCTTCAGAAATGCAAACAAAGACCCATCACAAAAAAGGAGGTGTCCACAGCAGAGCCGTCCCTCATCTGACGTCCTTTGACATGTCCTTAAATTGGCACGTCCTTAAATCTCCCAATCGGTGCCTCATTTGTCCCTGGAGCAGCCACACAACCAGGAAAGTCGAGTGCTATCATCTCAGTGTACAGATGAAGAGACGGAGGGTCCGAGTGGTTATGAAGCCTCCTGCCCAAAGCCAGCCAGACAGCGGCGAGCAGGCCGATGACCAGGCCCGCCACCTGGAGCTCAGAGCTTGTCCTGGGGCGGGCTCGGGGCCAGGCATGCACACCAGCTCGGTGTCCGAGCCTGGGAAGGCAGAGCTCTTCCCCGGAAAACAAGAATCCCAGCACAGAGAGACCACGGGGAGGGAGGAGAGAGAGCACTCGCAAGGTCAAGGATGCATTCCTAAGGTGCTGACGACACCAGCTTTCTCTTGAAGGTTCGCTTCTTAATTGGAAGTAGTTCAGGCGCTGATGTTGGGTGTCCCACCCCAATGCGATCATGCCACACCCTGCACTCTGCGTAGCTGGGGTCCTATTTACAGCTCCCCTCACACATGCACATGCGCGCGCGCGCGCACACACACACACACACACACACACACACGCACGCTTATCCCAACCTTCCTCCGTGAGATAACAGACTGCACTGTTACAGCCAGCCGCGCGTGCCCTCCTGCAGGAGGGCTGTTCGCTCAGTGCAGCCGCGGTGGAGGCGCCGTGCCTGCGACCAGACGCAGCCCTGCCCGCTCAGCGTTTCCGAGCTCGGCTCGGGGTCACACACGCCTTTGTTGCTGCAGCTGGGGGACCCCAGGAAGAGCCTGAAGGGAGCGCAAACACAGGACCAGCAGCGGCTGCCAATGCCGGGCACGGCCTGCACCTGAGGGCCCACCAGGGGCTTCACTGTCGGGGTCACGACGTAACATTCCTGCGAATTCCTGGCCGTGATTCCTCCCCGAGAAGGAGCACATGTGCGAGTTTTCATTCCCACCCGCGACGATAGGCCCACGACGCCCACTGCGGCGACGTCGGGCAGGGCTGGGGGCCGGGCGGGGGAGTGGGCACACGCAGGCTGGCCCTGCGCAGGTCTGAGCGCGACCTGCTCGCAGGGACGGAGCCCGAGGCCGCGGGCCAGCCCAGCCTGCCGTCTGCTGCCAGGGACCGTGGGCACGTCTGAATCCAGGCCCACGTCTGTCAGATGAGAGGGTTAGCGGGATAATTTCAGAAGCTGCCTTTACACCCCTCGTCCTCTGTTCTAACCCGTTGGACGAAACAGCAGGTGGGGTTGCTATTGGAGGAGAAGGGCCCCCCGAGTCAATGACCAGCCAGAAAAACCACCTTCTCTGCTCCTGAACCACCCAATCCTCTCCGGGGCCCTCGAAGCTCAGGGCCTCAGGCAGAGGCTCCAGGAATAGCAACAGCAAGGGCAGGGAAAGGGCATGCCCGCCACGCACCCCTGACAGTTCACACGGTGGCCTCTCCTCAGCTGGCCTGTCCTTTCTGACTGCCTGCGCCTCCATCCGCTCCTGAGTGCCAAGCCTCTGGTTCTCGGTCCATTTCTAAGGTCCCTGGGTCTCTGGGTCATCAGAACCCACGGCAGGTGGGTCCTGGTGGGCGCTCTGTGTGATTCCAGACACGCCGTGAGCGGCACCTTCCGAACTGCAGGTCACTCAGGTTCCCGTGTGGAACCCCCTGCCCGGCCATCTCCCCGCTCGCCCACCCCAGCCACAGGGCTCCACCTGGTCTGTGTCTGACCTGCTGGGAGCGTGGCTTGGCGCTCTCGAGCCCTCCGGTGGGAGGCACAGGGAGGTGTCTCCGGGTGGACTGACTGCACAAAACCTCAACATCGCCAAACGGGCAATTCCTGGTACCACGGAAGGGGTGGTGACCACAGCCAAGGCCAATTGGAGCCTTTGAAAAACACGCATGTTATGTAACTGCTCTCGGAAAAAATAAGGAACAAGCCCTGAATCACTGGAACTCGCTAACAGGGGTGGCCGGGGGCCAGAAGGAAGGCCTGTGCCCCAGAGGACACCGCGGCTCCTGGCGGCATCTCAGAGGCTTCCTGATGCTAAAGAGCAAAGAAAACCACAGTTTTTGGTGTTTCCCCGAAAATAAGACATCCTCCGAAAATAAGACCTACTTATAGGTTTCCTTCTGAGTGAAATATAAGGCATCCCCCTGAAATATAAGACCCCCCTAAGCTCTGTCTCAGAATGCTATTGCTAAACATGAGAGATTTGGTCCACTGATTCTGAAAGAAATGGAGTCACAAGAAATTCACCAGGAAATTCAGGAATTGGATTGTTATGATGATGTTCCAGAAGATGATGACATGATTGTCATTGAATAAATGAGTAAATTCTTGAAACTGTAGGATTCACAGTTTGTCTAGTTTGTGTTGACAACTACCGTACTACCATACCGTATACAGGTAATAAATTTTCTTTATTTTCATTTAACAATAAATGTGTACCGTATTCCTCTTCATGGAAAAATAAGACATCCCCTGAAAATAAGACCTAGCACATCTTTGGGAGCAAAAATTAATATAAGACACTGTCTTATTTTCGGGGAAACAGGGTAGATTATTGCATATTACTGTCAATGTTAGGGTATTAAGCATATATAACATGTATATTCCTATTAATGTATGTACATTAAGGCTATGCATGGAAGCTCTCTCTCTCTCCTCTTGGTTCTGTTTCCTGGGCGAGCCCTGACTGACACAGAACCCTGGCCCCTCGCCGGGAGCCGCTGGGTGCTGACCTCAGGTGAGAGGCCGGGTGCTGCCCCTGGAGGTGAGTGGTGCCCTCGGGCACCGGGCGTCTCTGCACACAGAGCCGGGCCTTCCCTTTGCCGGGCACTACAAGAAGCGCCCAGAGGAAACAGGTGGATGGGAGGACTGA